CAGATCCTAAAACCTTAGAATGGATGAACCTTTGCTGGTGCCTGCCAGCCCTTGCTCCTTAGCAGTGGGTACCACACTGACCCTAGGGCTCTGTCTCCACTTTGCTCTCACCTACCTTTGCTGCCCCATCTGTGCTCCATGAGGTTGTTGTACCACCCATCAAATCGTTGCACCTCCCATGAAATGGAATTCTGAGCTCCTGTGTGAGGACAGAGGGAAAGGGAAGTTGGGCAAGTCAGTGCATGAGAGGATGGGTAGACCAGTAGGATATGGGTCCTGCAAGCCTGGCTTTTGGGGCAGCAGGAAGTGCACAGATGTGAGAGGTAGTGCCCAAGTTCAAACCCAACCTTTAAGTAGCTGGGGGGGGGGCGGTGAGGGTGGCTATGGCAGGGAGCACTAAAGCAATGTAGCCAGGTGCAGTGTGCTGATAAATAGCCTCAGGGTGGAAGAGGGAGCAGAAGGAGAACCATGGCGATGGGGAAGGGGATGCAGGAGACTTCTACTGTCCTTACACCTCCCTGGAGGACATGGCAGGACAGAAGCCATTCCAAGCAGTAAGATATCACACAGAGAAAAAGCCAGCCACTCTTCCACCCAGGGAAGGACATGTCGTTCTGTGACCCATCCCAGGGCAGGGGCAGTGTGGAGAGGAGCTTGGCCTTCTCCTGCTGAACAGAGCCTAGAGCAAGGATGTGGGCTGCAGGGTTATGGCTTTGAGGCCTTGCTACTCTGGTCTTTTTCCCCCGGTTACTTGGGTGGGATCAAGGACTGATAGTCATATAGATAACTTCACCTCTTCCTCTTTGGGGGCATCATGTCCCCCATATAATTCCTCCTCTTAACCCTATTGTACTCTCAAAAATCTAGGACCTGGGAGGGAACACTCAGCTGTTGAGAGAAGAGCTCAGGCAGTGAGGGACAGAGAGAAAGGTCCAGAATCAGAGATACAGCATAGGTCCTTCCAGTCATCAGATCAGATCACCACCCAGGTTCCTTTCCCCAAACTAGGAGGCTACAGGGCTGACGCTCCCTCTCTGCTCACCTCAGAGATCAGAGCAAAGAAAAGGACTCTCATCAGCCAGAGTCTGACTCTCTCCCCTCTCACACCAAGGACAGGGTCTCAGAGCTACCCTTCAGCCCCATACCTGATAGACTTGTGCGTGTACATGTATACACACACACACACACACACACACACACACACACACACACACACACACCAGGAAGTCAGAGAAGAAAATGACTCAGGCACTGATGGTTGAGCAAAGAACTGAGGGAGAGCAGAGAAGTGACCCCAAAGTATGCTACTTTGGCACCTGGATTATTTTGGGCTGAAGGCACTTGAGACCTAGCAGACTCAAGAAAAACTTACCTGTCCCTTAACTACCAGATAGGGGGCCTGGCCCAGAAAGAGAGTTAATTAGTACCAGAGATAAATTTTTATCTACATGGCAGGACAAACATCTAACCAAACATCTGCTCTTTGTATTGCCTTGTGAATTTCCCTTCTCCTTTTCGAAGCCCCAGGCCCCTATCCCATTTCTCAGCTCGGGATGGCACAGAAGCCTCAACTATTCAACTTGCCTTTGGGTCTCCTATTTTTATGGGGCTCTAATATGTATGAAATTCAATGTATTTTTTCTCCTGTTATTCTGTCTTATAACAGCTTGATTGTTAGACCAGCCAAAGAACCTAAATGAGAATAAGGAAAACAATTTCCACCCCTACAGAATCCAACTAAGGATCCAGAACTTGGGATCGGAACATAGGGCAGCCATGTACATGTGATCTCTAAAATAAGATGAACTGGAGGCAGAAAAAGGGGGGACTTCTTGGAGAGGGTGTAGGGGGAAATGCCTCTTGGGAATAAGAAGCAAGAGCTGCGGAGAAAAGGAAAAATTAAGGCGAAGGCATAGAGAGAAAGGAATGAGAATGTGAGCATCTTTGGCAAGCGAGAAGCTGCAGGGACCATCTCACCATCCTTTGCCTCCAGCCAAGACAGATTGTTCCACAGGTTGTCTTTGTTCTCTGTTCTTGCATCCCCCACCCCTGATGATCAGGAACTTGCTCTTTTTAACCTAACTTGTGGCACCTTAAGCCAACTTCCCTCGTCAGAGACCCAGACTACAGAGATCAGAGACTGGCCTCAGATTCTAGTAAGATACTGTCCAAAGCTGAAGGTAACAAACATGAAACTCTGGTGTATTGTATTGTTTTGTTTTTAAGTCATATTGTTTTAAAACAGTGGTGATTTCCCTTTGGAGAGGTCAACTTTTAGTCCAGTCTGACCCCAAGATCCTTTATTTTTTGTGTGTCTACTCAATCTTTTTCTATTTGGGGTCAGGGGGTCCTTAATTTATAAGATAAGGGAGAGAGAAAGGGCCCCAAGCTACAAGGAATGAAATAAGAAGTGCTGACACAGCAGTTGAAGGCTCCCTAATTCTGTGTATTTGGGCAAATATGTCATTCCATTATCTACCCATGTAGTCAACAAGCTGGAAATGAGCACCTACCATGTGCAGGCTACTGTGTTAGCTAAGGAGTAGGGATACAGAGATGAATACGATACAGCTTCTGTGCTTGGGGGAGCCCAGAAGATGCTGGGTTCCTCTGCGCCTAGCCATGCTTCTCCTCCAATCTGTACTCACCTGTGAGCGTCCACGGCCCAACCAGGAGTGTCCATGCCAGAGCCAGGCGGAAGCCCATGATGAAAATTATAATAGGGCTCAGGTGTTAGAATCCCTTAAAATGGAAACCCTAGAAAAAGACAGAGGACAGAGAAAATGAACCCCAACAGTTCAGGAAAGTCAGGCCAGGGCCTCTGCAAGTCCCTATGAATCAAGGCATAGGGCTGAGCCATGGCCACAGTGGGTAGGTAGCAAAGAGCAGGTGACTCACTACCTCCCAGGAATCTTTCATTCATTCAACAAATACCTGATGGGCACCCAATTTGTAGTGGGCATGGACCTAGGCACTGAGATTAAGTACTGAATGTAGCAAACAGAAATCCCTGCCTTCCTGGACTTGACCTCCTAAGATTAATTGGAAAACATTACTTTGGCCAAGGAATAGTGTGTATTCCTTGCACTGAGCCTTGCGTGGGGGCCAGGACCCTGGGCTGAGGGCAGGATGTGGTGCTGTTGCCAGTCTACTGTGTGAATCTTAGGCAGGTCACTTATCTGGTCTGGACCTTGCTTTTCTCTTCGCGTTATGGGAGTAAATAGGCCTGAACTGTTTACCTCCTAGTATGGTTGCCCGAATCAAATATGAGAATGAGAATGAAAACTGAAAGGTGTTATGTAGTTGTAATACAGAAAGGATAGGTTGGAGGTGGCTCCTCTGTGAGGACTCACAGGGGTTCATGTGTTTGATGCCAGCTTCCTGCTCTTTCTCCCCAGATCAGTAAATCACCCAGGAACAACAGGGAAACAGAGGCAGCAGGGGACTCAGTTTGGGAATCCTCAGTGGCACGGGGAGTGCCTAAGGCCACTGAAGACCTCCGAAAGGCAATACGGAGATTGGGGGTGGGCTGGAGAACTATCTAGTGGAGGAAGGTGGGAGCTCAGGGAAAGCCTCATCTCCAGACAAACCCTCAGGGCTCCTGGACAGGTTGTCTAGTCACAGAGGATGGAACCCAGAGGGTAACTTCATCCCCACTCACCATCCCCCATTTAAAAAATGAAAACATCTGGGCCCTGTCATAACTCAAAAGGTTAGTTACCCACTCCATCCCACAGACTGTCCAGGCACTGGCCTTTGATAGTTTGTGAAGAACAGAACTCTGGATGGTCGAAGCCATGAGGCTGGACACGCTGAAGTGGCCACAGTGGTCCTTCCCTGATCTAGGATGTCCTGCACTTTCCCCCCTACCGCTCTGACTTCTGAATCCTTGCCCCCAGACACCAGTGTGCCGCTCAGCCTGTAAAAGCATACAGTGAGCTTTCAGGCCAGGCTGTAGGGACAATCTGAAAGGTTGCTTCATAGCCACTCCTTGTGTGTGGGTAGCCACAATGATTTACACAGCAACATTGGTTCAGTAACTTCCCAGCAGCAATCTTGAAAGGAAGGCACAGCCTCATGACAGGGCAGTGAAGCCCCAGACAGCAGCAGAACAGGGGGAGAACACAGGCCTGCCTGGTTCTGGCCCCACATGACTACTTTTCCAGCCTGAAGTCCTAGAGTGGTGACCCTGGGGTGGGAAAGATGAGTCAAGGCCCTAGGGAATAACAACTTGGTCGCAAGAGAGGACTGATGTGGAAAGCCTGGCCTCTGAAAGCCCCAAATTCCCTCCCTGGAATCCTGTGCTGGTGCCAAGATACGCTCCAGAGAGACTGCCCTAGGCCCAAGCAAACTAGGCCACCCAATATTTCCAGGTCTCAAAGAACGCAGTCTCCCAAAGCCTTGATGGGATGGAAGATAGACCCTAACAGGGCCCACTGTAGCCTCAGGCTAAGAACAGACGCCCAGGGGGTGGGGAAGCTAGGCTGGAATTCCACTTCCCTCAAAAATGTGGCGAAGCGGGGGCACAGTCTGCCGCAGCCAAGCGGCTGGAGATCCCTTCCCCTGACCCCGAGCTCCGAGGCTCTTGGGCCGGCGGGCAGAAGCCCTCCTGGATCTGACCTGCGGCTGCGGTGTTCCCGGAGCCGGGACTGCGGCTTGGTTTCCGCCTGGCGCGAAACGGCCCGCAAAGCTGGGTCTCGTCCTGCTCCCTCTCCTGCTCTGCGCCGAGGCGGGCGGGACTGGGAGATGAAGAGGGGATGGCGCGCCCCAGTTCTAAGGCGGGGCGGGGCGGAATGGGGCGGGATAGAAACCCGCGCTCCGGAGACCCGCCGAGGTGCTCCTCGGTGACCTGGGCGCGCGCAAGGTGAGACTGCACGTGCTCGCAGGGCTCAGGTGGCATAGATGTGTGCCCGTGGGAGAGCTCGGCTAGTGCAGCCACGTGGCTGGCGAAAAGGGCAAGTCTGTTTCTTCAATTCTTCTAGGGCTGGGAGAGGGCGGAGGACCGAGAGGGTGCGGAGCAACGGGGAGGCACTCCCCAAATCCTCTCCACACTGTGGGATCTGGGCTCTAAGACCAAGAGGATTCGCCAACGCCCGCAGACCTGGCCAGGCGTCCACGCAAAGCACGGGTCCTCAGGCCCTGTCGGCAGTCTGCGGTAACCACTTCCCACCCCTGGATTCCTCGTGAGATCTCGAGGGTCTCACCGCGCCCGCGCCCCACGGGACCCAGAACTGCATCGCTAGGTTTGTGCTGAAGCTGTCCGGGGTGCTGGGCATGAGGGGAGAAGAAGGAGGGGTTGGAGGGATGGTTGAGGAGGGGATAGGCACCGGCCCCTTCTGTGTACCAGGCCGGGATTGGGGGCAGCGCTGCAGAGCCTGGGGTGCAGTGTGAGAAGTTCGCGAGTGACTTGGAATGGGAGGCGGGGAAGCACCCCAGACCCGGTTTATCTGGTCATAGCCTGGCTCTTAAGTGAATTAGAAGAATGGAGGATAGAAGGGAGCCCCGCCGAGAGAAAAGGCATGCGTTTTGGTGACAACATCGGGACAGAATATCGGGACCGGGTCCCCTCCCTGATCCCATCCCCAGGAGCGCCGCGTGTGAGGTTTCACAGGAGCAGGCCAGCGGTGCGAGTTGCCAAGCACGCATTCTTTGGAAAAGGAGAAGGTAGGGAACCCTGGTCCCATGTGAGTGGGGAGGGGATGCGGCTGCTGGGGTCTGTGCGATCCAGTTGGGTTTGGGAGGGGACATTGAAGTGCCGCCCTCGCCCGGGCCCCTAGGAGCGCACTTTTTGTGTCCATCCAGATAAAATTCAGATCTTCAAAGAGAAAGTTTGGTAGGAAACTGAGAGGAGGGAAGAAAAACTTCGTAAGGCCATAAACGACACAAGGCATACAGACACCGAATCCTTATCTTGGCTAAATTGGAATCTGACTAGTTTGGCTTGCATGATTCAGCACCTCTGGGATCCTTACGCACCTCAGCCCTTACTGGGGATTCCTGTCTCAACCTACTTTTCAGCTCTTGTTCTGTTTTTCCACTTAATTTCTCCTTTGTTACAACAACACACAGACACGTGTTCCCCTGCCCCACCGTCACCCCCTCCACAGGACCCATCAGCTCCAAGTCAAATGGTTGTTTTCAATCTAGTTGTGGAGGGCGTTTTTCCAGGACCCATCAGCTCCAAGTCAAGCAGTTGTCTCAGTCCAGTTGCGGAGGGCACAACTCAGTGGCCCATGTGAGGATTGAATGGGAAACCTTGGTGTTATGAGCACTGCGTTCTTACCAGCTGAGCTAACCGGTCGGCTCCCCATCTCTTCCCTAACCACCCCACCTCCCCCGCCCTGCGTGTTTTTGAAGAGGCTGGAACAGGAGTTCCTTCCTGACAGGGTCCCCTCAGCCAGCCCGAGCTGTAAGCTTTTAATGGAGTCAATCCCAACCAGAGAAATAAACCATCACATTCTGGTGGCTGTCAGCAACTCCAGGCATGTAGAGAATTAGTAGTCCTTACTCTATGGGTTCCAGAAGATGGGGGAGGTGGGTAGGGGGAGACGTCAGGAAGAAATTCTTGTCAAGCTATGACAGGTCACAGAGCACTAAGAAAGCGCATAAGAACTTTGGCTGCTGAAGACTGGAGCTTATACTAGAATGAGTTTTCTTAAAGATGGTAACTATTTCTAGCCCACCCCTCATACAAATGTGGGAACCCCACTTCATCCTACAGTAGGTAAGGATTGTCTTAAATACAGCTGAGTATAAAAAATGCTTCAGTATTTGGGCCGGCCGAGTGGCGCGATGGTTAAGAACTCGCTTGGGATGCCAGAGGGCCCCGGTTCGGATCCCACATATGAGGGCCAGTGACACTGCCCTCCGCAGCTGAGATGCTGAACAACAGCTCAACCTGGAGCTGGGCTGCCATGAGTCGCCGGCGACGGCGTGGGCTGCAGTCCCTGTGGCAGTGGATTGCCATGGGCTACCGTGTGTGGCCAGCAGCCAGCGTGAGCGGCCAGCAGCCACAGTGAGCGGCCATCCAGAAGCCGGCGACTGATCTGCCTCGCCAGGGAAGAGCGCAATGATGGTGCCAACTTGGGCCAGTGAAGCAACATCCTCCACAACTAGACTGAAGAACAAAACGACAGCAACTTGTCTGTTCCCCTTCCCCCAACTCCCCAGCACTGTTCCCATCCCCCCAATTCCCCAATTTAAAAAAAAATGCTTCAGTATTTTAAGGGACTTCAGAAAGGGAAAAGGTGTCCCTCACCTCTCCAGACCAAGTGAGAAGGGATGACTCCAAAATGTGAGGACTGGCTTTGCCCAGTGAGATATCACCCCAATTTTGTCACAGAGGCCTCTGATGGAGGTTTTTTATGTCTAGATGTATATGCTACTGAGAACCACTTCCTTCTCGTGCCTGTATTTCTGTTGATATGAACTTGTAGGTGTACGTCTGTATATTGTGCTTATTTATATTAGTATACTATATATATATATATATCCCCCAATCATGGTGGTGAGCTAGGAGAGAAGTTGGTCAAGTGAAAATTGCCATGAGATTTTTATCAGAATAGAAAAAATTCTACTGTCAGACACTCCTTTGCAAGCCAGGGAGGAAGATATTCCTGATGGAAACTATAAGCTAATAGGAAAAGCAGGGTTGCTGGATGTGGGGACTTTTCACATTTTAGTCCCACCTCTTCAGGCAGGAGGCCTTTTTTAGCTTAATATATAATTAAAATCAAATTAAGATCAGGGTCATGAAAAATTAACTTTAAACGAGGCAATGTAAATTAAGGAGCACCTAATTTATTAAAGTAAACAAGAAGAAATTAAGGCAAATTTTATTCACCAACTGTCTTTTTGCTTTTGCCATCTTTAATAGATATTTTGGAGAATTGGAAATAAGTTAACATTATTCTTCTGTACTTACGATACAGAAAACCTTTTGTTAGTGTTTCTTTGAAGCACCATGATAATAGAGATGAGCCATTCTTATAAAATATTTTATAACCTCCCTTTCAAATAAATGCAGGAATAATGCTAAATTATGGCCCTGAATAAAATACATTACAATTATTATTTGCTTATATTGCAAATATTTGTTTTTGAACTTTCAGCATATAACATGTATTACCAAATTTGCTTTATCTTACTAAACAAGATATTCTACATTTCATAGCCTTTTCTTAAAAAAAAAGCCTTTTATCAAAATTCTAATAATTTCAGTCTAGGTGTCATAAATAAAAAAATTCTTAAACCAATAAACATCTGCTTTAAAATAAATATCACTATCACATATTATACAGCAATAATCCATAAATTCTTACTCATCTTCAGCTACAGTTGAAATGTATGTTTCAGATTGAATTAAACATGAACATTCATGCTTTGGAGACTCCAACTATTAAAGAGGCTTTCTGAACATTTTGTGAAAAGATTAAAAATTGACAGCGTTGGTCAAATCTTTTCCTGCCCAGTCCTTAGCTCTATATTGGTGATACTCAAGTTAATGTCGAATTCGAGTGTGGTATAGGCCAGGGCAATGAGGGAGCATAGCTCCCTCTTGTGTGTGGAAATAGAAGATGCCACCTGCAAAGAGGAACCTATTCATATATTCATTCATTTGATCCATAGACTGATTAGTGTATTCTAAGTGCAGGAGATGCAAAGATGGAAAAACAAAATCCCTGCCCTTAAGGAGATTGGAAGCTAAAGGAGAGAGAAATGTTCAAACAACTAGAGTATATTGTAATTATTAGGATCACGGAGGTATGTTCAAAATGCAGTCAGAACGTTAGAGGTAGAAACATCTACACTGGCCTGATGGCATCAGAGGAAACTTCATGGAGGAGTTAACACAAGCTGAGACTTGAAGAGTGAAAAGGAGTTTGCCAAGAGGGTAAGAGCATTCCAGGCAGAGGAAACAGCATAGACAAAGGCAGGAAGGCTTGAAAGAGCATGTCAGATTCAGGGAGAGGCCAGTAGTTCAGTGTGACTAGAGAACAGACTGGCAGAAAATGGAGATGGAAGGGTAGGTGGGACCAGATCACAAAAGACTTTCTATGTGATGGTGAAAAGATTAGATTTTACCCAGAGGAAAAAAGGAAAATAATTACATTTGCTTGTTAGAAAACTTGTTCTGGCACCAGGCAAGACAGGATGAGGCTGAATTAGCTCAGAGGCAGTAGGGAAGGAAATGCATGGATGGGTTCAAGAAATATTTAGGAGGTAAGCTCTTCCAGGTCTCTGGCTTATTTGATTAATGGGGTGGTGATGCCACTAAAGAGCCAAAGAAAACAGAATCAAAAGCAGAACAGAGACAGTGAATTCCGTTTGGGACCAGTTAAATTTGAGGCATCCATGGAACATCTCAGTGAAAATACCCATGGGATAATTGATCCTTTTGTGTTTGGTGCCTAGGTAGGAGGTCTAACTGGAGACATAGATTTGCGAAGCACCAGCCATGGGAATGGATAAGTTTGCCCAAGGAATCATGAAGAGCGCTAAAAGAAGAGAGTCAAGACAGAATCCTGGAGAGCATAAACATTTAAGAGGGAGGAAGAACTAGCAAAGGGGCCACAAAAGAGATGGCCAAAGGCAGGAGGCTCAGGAGAACATGGTGTCATGGAGGCCCAAGGAGGGAAAGTTTGAAGAAAGAAGGAACGGTCCACAGTGTCAAATACCACAGAGAAGTCAAGAAGGACGAAAAGTGAAAATTTCCCTTTGGATTTAGCACTTAGTGACCTAATGGAAAAGTTGGGGATGGGGAGAAGTCAGGTTGCAATGAGTTGAGGAGATAAGGCAGTGGAAATACCAACATAAACTATTCTTCCAAAAAGCCTGGCTGTGAAAGGGAGAGAATGGGATAAGATGGTAGCTGGAAGGGTCCCAGGAGGTCAAGGGAGAGAGTCCCTTTTCTTTGTGTTCTTAAGATTGGAGAAATTTAAGTATATCCTTGAGAGAAGGAGCCAGCAGAGAAAGGGAAGCTTCAAAGTTGCAAAGAAAAAGGGGGATAACTGATGAGAAAGGTGGTGATGAAGGCAGACAGGATTGGGGTCTGAGCCCAGGAGAAAAGAGATGCCCATTCCTCTGGGATGACAAAATTGATAAGTTAAGAAAAAAGCAAAACTTCATGTTAAAACTGAGACTCAGAGGTTATGTGACAGGGTTAAAAGTTAAAACTGTCTATCTTTCTGCCCCTTTGCTTGATATCATGCTACCTACAGAGAGCGCACAAGGAGATGGCCAACCTAGAAGGAGAAGGGAAGGCTGGGAGCTATGGTATATTGTAGGAGAATCACTGAATTTAGAACTAGAAGGGACCCAAAGATCATCATATCCGATTGCAGATAAGGAAGCCGTGGACAAAGGAAGCTGTTATTTACCTACTCAATGTTATAAAATTAGTTACTGAACAGATGATTCCTAGAATTAGTGGGGTGATATACATTGTAAGGTATAAAAATGTTGAATCACTGTATTGTACACCAGAAACTAATATAACTAATATAATATTGTATACCAGCTATACTTAAATAAACAATAAATAAAATAAGTGTACACATATTCTTAAAAAATTAGTTACCGAAGAACTGGAAGCAGACCCAGAACTGATTTCAGCCCACAAGAAGGATTGGAGAAATAGATAAATAGAGTAATAAAATGCCCCCTCCTTCCCAATCTGGTAGCTTCCATTTATAATTATTGCTCTCTATCAGGTACTATTCTTAGCACTTTACATACGCAATCTCATTTCATACTCACAATGACCCTGTGAGGTAAACATAACTATCATCCCTGTTTTTTAATAAAACCAAGTCTCTATGAGATCAAGTAAATTGCAAGAGGAAGAGGTGGAATTCAAACATGGTTGCTTAACTCCGAAGCTTATTCTTTCACCATATCAGTTAACAAGACATTGCCTAGTCAGACTATAAATTATGGAGCCTCCTGGGCAAACCAAGGCCCCAATATAAGTCGCATGCAGGGAAATGAGCAGAGCTGGGATCACTGATTGTAAGATGCATTTTTTTTTCACCTTTTGGTATTTCTGCAATTGAGGTATATCTTACCAACAATGGCTGTCATGGTTTAATGGGTAGTGTCTTCCTTCCTTCCTTCCTTCCTCCCTCCCTTCCTCCCTCCCTCCCAACCTCCCTCCCTCCTTCCCTCCT